GAGTCTTGCTTTTGGCCCAGGCTGGAGTGCAGTGGTACTATCTCAGCTCACTGCAACCTCTGCCTCCAAGTTTCAAGCAATTCTCCTGCCTCAGCCTTCCAGGTAGCTGGATTATAGGCATGCACCACCACACCTGGCTAATTTTTGTATTTTTTGTAGAGACGGAGTTTTGCCATGTCGGCCAGGCTGGTCTCGAACTCCTGACATCAGTTGATTTGCCTGCCTCTGCCTCCCAAAGTGCTGGGATTATAGGAGTGAACCACCATGCTTGGCTGTTCTGAGGTTTTTAAATTCCTGATTCAATCTCCTGAGACAGGTCTGTTTAGATCTTCTGATTCTCCTGAGTCAGTTTTGGAAGATTGTGTTTAGGAATGTGGACACTGACATTTTTGAAGAATCAAGACCATCTTGGAGACTGTCCACAGTCTCTGTTCCTGCCTTTCCCCTTGATGAGGTCCAGGTGACGCTTCTCAGGTGGGCCACTGTGGTGCTGCCCCCTCTCAGCCGGGCCACTGTGGTGCTGCCCCCTCTCAGCCGGGCCACTGTGGTGCTGCCCCCTCTCAGCCCACTCCCTTTGGAGTCTCAGTGTTTCCTATTGGATCTCTTGCCTTCCCTAGGGGATTTTTTTCTAAACTTTAGTGACCTTTAGAAGTTCCTTCATGGCCGGGTATGGTGGCTCACACCTGCAATCCCAGCACTTCGGGAGGCTGAGGCAGGTGGATCACCTGAGTTCCGGAGCTGGAGACCAGCCTGGCCAACATGGTGAAATCCCATCTCTATTTTAAAAAATACAAAAATTAGGCAGGCGTGGTGGCACATGCCTGTAGTCCAAGTTACTTGGGAGGCTGAGGCAGGAGAATTGCTTGAACCCAGGAGACGGAGGTTGCAGTGAGCCCAGATAGTGCCACTGCACTCCAGTCTCAAAAAAAAAGAAAATCCATTAGTAAAACTGTATTTAGAGTAAATTTCCTGTTTTTGCTTATCTGAAAGATGTCTTAAATGTTCCTTCATTTTTGTAAGGCAGTATTCCTAGGAACACAAATCTAGAGGGCTGCCTATCGGCCCTTGAAATGTCTTCTTTCTGTGTCTGGGACTCAGTTGCTGACGCTGCATGGTCAGCCTTCAATCTGACTGCCCTTCCTTTGTGTGCGTTTCCATGGACTCAGTGGCTTAACACGGCACAAATGTGCACTCTTATGGTTTTGGAGGTTGGAAGAGTGAAGGGTCTCCTTGGGCCAGAAGTGAGGTGCTGGCAGGGCTGCGGGGCCATCAGGAGGCCCCAAGGGGTGCTCCCTGCCTTGCCCTCTCCAGTGGCCTTGACTGGAGGCGTCCTTCCATCCCGGAAGCCAGCCCTGGGTGGCCGAGTCCTCCTCACATCACCTCACTGCAACACTGACTCTTCTGCCTCTGCTTTCCACTTCTAAGGACCCTTGTGATTACGCTGGTTTCCTCCGGAGAATCCAGAATCATCTGCGGTCAGAGAACGAGCAGCCTTCATCCCCCTGCTGTGTAATGTCACATAGTCTCTGTTAGGGGCCAGTATTGTGCCATCCACAGTAGGTGTCTGACTTTTGTGCTCTGGCTACTTCTGAGACCTCTACCTTTGGTGGTTTTTCTTTGGTGTGCATTTCTTTCTTTTTAACTTTTTATTTTTATGTATTTTATTTATTTATTTATTTATTTTGAGACAGAGTCTTGCTCTGTTTTCCAGGCTGGAGTGCAGTGGCTCGATCTCAGCTAACTGCAACTTCCGCCTCCTGAGTTCAAGCAATTCTTCTCCCTCAGCCTCCCAAGGAGCTATGATTACAGGTGTCTGCCACCATGCCCAGCTGGTGTGTGTGTGTGTGTGTGTGTGTGTGTGTGTGTGTTTAATAGAGATGGGATTTCCCCATGTTGGCCAGGCTGGTCTTGAACTCCCGGCCTTAAGTGATCCACCTGTTTCGGCCTCCCAAAGTGCTGAGATTACAGGCCTGAGCCACCTTGCCTGGCCGCTTTTTTTTTTTTTTTTTTTTTTTTTTTTTTTTTTTTTTTTTGAGACGGAGTTTCGCTCCCTCTTACCCAGGCTGGAGTGCAATGGCGCGATCTCGGCTCATCGCAACCTCCGCCTCCTGGGTTCAGGCAATTCTCCTGCCTCAGCCTCCCGAGTAGCTGGGATTACAGGCACGCCCCACCATGCCCAGCTAATTTTTTGTAGCTTTAGTAGAGACGGGGGTTTCACCATGTTGACCAGGATGGTCTCAATCTCTTGACCTGGTGATCCACCCGCCTCGGCCTCCCAAAGTGCTGGGATTACAGGCGTGAGCCAACGCGCCCGGCCGCCTGGCCACTTTTTATTTATTTTATTTTATTTTATTTTTTTATTTATTTTATTTTTTTTTTTGGAGACGGAGTTTCACTCTTGTTACCCAGGCTGGAGTGCAATGGCGCGATCTCGGCTCACCGCAACCTCCGCCTCCCGGGTTCAGGCAATTCTCCTGCCTCAGCCTCCTGAGTAGCTGGGATTACAGGCACGCACCACCATGCCCAGCTAATTTTTTGTAGCTTTAGTAGAGACGGGGTTTCACCATGTTGACCAGGATGGTCTCGATCTCTTGACCTTGTGATCCACCCGCCTCGGCCTCCCAAAGTGCTGGGATTACAGGCTTGAGCCACCGCGCCCGGCCTATTTATTTTATTTTATTTATTTTTTTGTAGAGATGGAGTCTCACTATTTTGCCCAGGCTGGTCTCAAGTGATCCTTCTGCCGCAGCCTCCCAAAGTGGAGCCTCTTTGAGATTACAGGTGTGAGTCACCATGCCTGGCCTCTTTTTAACTTTTTATTAAAGTGTGATATACATAAGAAAATGCATTTATATGTGCAATTAGGAGAATTGTCAACAAATTGAACACATCTTTGTTACCACCACCCAGAACAAGAGATAGAAGTGACTAAAGTCCCCAGGAGTAACCACTTGTCACAGCGTAGATCCATTTTGCTTTTCCTTGTGCTTTAGGGAGAGAAATCATGCAATGTGTGCCCTTTTTGTCTGATTTTCTTGGCTCAGCCTGTTTGTGCAGTTCACCCATGTTGCTGCTGTAGATCATGCATTTGCATTGCTGTGTGGTATTCTGTTGTATGAACATATCACAGTTTATTCTTGTTCCTGTTGATGGGTATTTGGGTAGTTCCTAGGTTTGGCTCTCACAAAAGGAGCTGCACTGAACATTGTTGCATGTGTCTTTTGGAACATTTGTTGGGCTGTCCCTAGAAATGGGATTGTTGTGTTGTGGGCATAGGTGTAGTTTTCTTTTTGTTTATCCTACTTAGAAAACATTGTCCCAGCCAGGCACGGTGGCTCACACCTATAATCCCAGCACTTTGGGAGCCCAGGAGTTCAAGATTAGTCTACACAGCATAAGGAGACTGTTTTTACAAAACTTAGGAAAAATTAGTCATCGTGCATGCACCTGTGGTTCCAGCTATTTGGGAGGCTGAGATGGAAGGATCACCTGAGCCTGGGAGGTTGAGGCTGCAGTGAGCTGAGATCATACCACTGCGCTCCATCCTGGGTGGCAGAACAAAAAGAAAAAGAAAATAAGAACGATTTTCCCTGTTGTATGTATGGATTGCATTAGTGTCTTATGAAAACCTCTCAGCCATTACTATTAAAATATTGCCTCTCCTCCCACTGTTTTCTTCAATTAGATGCATGATATTAGATCTTTTTGCTTTCTCAACCTCTCTTTTATATTTTCCATCTTCTCTCTGTATCACATTTGGGGTATTTTTTTCCATACCTCTGTGTTCCAGGTCAGTATCTCTTTCATTCAGCTCTGTGTAATCTGCTATTTAACCCGTTCTATGAGTTTTTATTTTGACATTGACTTTTTGTTTATTTCTAAAAATTCTGTTTGGTCCTGTCTGATCATTGTCGATAGTTTCTTGTTTGTTCATTGTTTCTTTCTGTCTTGTATTTATGCAAACATTTCATAACACTTAGTTTGTATCTAACAGTTTCAATACTTGCAGTTTCTAGGGGATTGAATTCTGGCTTCTGGCTTCCACTGTCCTTTATAGGTGGCTTTTCTCCATGTATGTTCTGGTGATCTTTGATTGTGAGCTCATATTTGCTTGATGTTAACCTCTGAGAACGTACAGAACCTTATGTAGGATGCTATTGCTTTTGCAGAGAAGTGGGAGGCTACTAAGCTGGGACCATCTGAACCTCCTTCTAGGGCCCTGGCTGGTGCAGGTGTCCACAGTGCAGCTTCTCCATTCTGTTGATAGCAGTGCTGACATAGGCACTGGTTGCAGGGTCCCCCCAGCTTTGTATTGCATAATGCTCACAACTTTGGTTTCAGCTTCCAGGATTTTGTTTTGTTTGGTGACTCTTGGAGGTTTCCTTTTCTTCCCATGAGGGCAGTCACGGAGCTTAAAATCAGCTTTGTGCAGGATCTAGTTGTTGGGCAGTTGTGGGGTGGATCGGGGGAGCAACCCTCAGCTTATCAGCCTTGCATCAACTTGTTCCCATTCTGGAGTCAGAGCGATAGTTTCAAAACACAGAACTCTCCTGTTTTCACTCTCCTGCTTGAAACCCTTTGCTGCTCTTAATTCCGATGGCTTCTATTTTTCTCTTTAGTTCCTCATGAGATAAAATGAAGGCATATGAAGATGTTTATGTTTACTATTATAAGCGTAATACATAAAGTAGCCTCACGGTGGCTCACATCTGTGATCCTAGCACTTTGAGAGGTCTTGGTGAGAGGATCACCAGGAGTTTGAGACCAGCCTGGGCAACATATCGACACCCCATCTCAACCACAACAAAAATTAGCCTGGCATGGTGGCGCATAACTATTTTGGTCCCAGTTTTTGGGCCCAGGAGTTCAAGGCTGTAGCGAGCCTTGATTGTGCCACTGCACTCCAGCCTGGGTTATAGAACGAGACTCCATCTCAAAGAAAAAATAGTAATACATAAAGTGAATATGGTGAGATCATGTGGCTTTCAGTATTTTCAGGAAATACTGAAGCTAGTGCCATATAGAGGCATATTGGGGAAGTACACATTAGTCTTACCCGTCAGTATTAAGAATCCATCCTCTGGGTAGCAAGTATGGGTTTTAAACAACTTCACTAGTGATTTTTTTTTTTTTTTTTTTTTTTTTTGAGACAGAGTCTCACTCTGTCGCCAGGCTGGAGTGCAGTGGCGCGATCTCAGCGCACTGCAACGTCCAACTCCCGATTCAACCGATTCTCCTGCCTCAGCTTCCCAAGTAGCTGAGATTACAGGCACGCGCCACCACGCCCAGCTAATTTTTGTATTTTTAGTAGAGACAGGGTTTCATCATGTTAGCCAGAATGGTCTCATTCTCCTGAGCTCGTGGTTTGACCGCCTCAACCTTACAAAGTGCTGGGATTACAGGCGTATGCCACTGCATCCGGCCAGTGACCTTTTTTTTTAAAGACAAGGTCTCAATGTGTTGCTCAGGAGGGTCTCGAACTCCTAGGCTCAAGCAGTCATCCTGCCTCAGCCTCTCCAGTAGCTGGGATTACAGATGGATGCCGCCACACCTGGCTCCCATTAGTGATCTTCATTGATAAACTGCTCATCTGGCAAATCAGTGGCATTACCCAAGCAGAGACTCTTTGAGTTGTAAGAGAACAAAGATGGCCCCAGGCAGACTTAGTTCACATAGTGGCTGTTTATCCCTGCCTTTTCCCACTTTGGGATTCACCTAGCAAAGGTTTCTCTCCATGCATTGATGTGGGCATCTTCCTAAGTTTCTCCTAGGGCTGGTCTCACAGTGGAGAATAATGGGTGGGACTCTTGTCTAAGAAGGAAATCTGTCCCATGTATCTTGGCCTTCTGATTCCTGTGTTTCTTAGCTCCACGCTGGGTTCACTGCCAGGGGATGAGTACCCTGCAGTATGGAGGACTCACACCCAGCACTGGCACCCAGGACACACATGTGTTTGGCGAGAGGCCACAGATGCAGGAGCAGGTCAGCTGTAAACTCAGCATAAGCAAAACCCAAGGTGCCGAGTGCATTTGTGACTTGATGGTGTGGCAGTTTAGAAGCTAAGAAAGCTTCGTTTTCTGTGGCTTGGCTCTTGGAGATGCAAGATGTTAACACCTGGTGCAGGAGGAGGGAAAGAAGGGGCTGCAGCGCCACCTCCAGGTAGGGGCAGATGGCGATGCACAGTTCTCGGGACTTCCAGCTGCAGAGCCAGGCTCCGTGACCGCATGTGGCTCCCCAAATGCTCACCAGTCTTTTCTAAATTTTTATGCAGACTCGAGTTTCAGAGACTTACCGAAGAAAACACTTTGTTGAAAAACAACCTGGGAAGGGTTCGGCAAGAGCTTGAAGCTGCAGAAAGCACTCACGATGCACAGAGGTAAGGGCCACGCCCCACCCAGACCCTCGGGTGGTGTGTGTTGCACTCTGCAGAGTGACCTTAGGCAGTCTCCATAAAGACAGTGGAAAGTGTTCTCAGATTAGCCCCGCACTCCAGAAAACCCTAAGCATGAGCCTTGTTAACTTCTGAAAGATCAGTAGGTATGGGAGGCTCTGGGATCCTTCCTCACATGGACGGCGCCTGAATGCCTTAGTGTGGGAAGTGGGACAAAGCACCCTCTGCATGGTCAGGACTGAGAGCGGAGCCCCAGCACAGGTGCTGTTCACCCCACAGAGATGCTCCATGTTGCACTTACGGGAGGCCACAACAGTGTCCGTAGGGGTCAGAGGTGCTCCTAGGGTCGTCTCCTGATAAGAGTTTCAGCTCTGTCTTCCTCAGAGGGTTATTGCTGCTTTATCAGTTTCAGTGAACGAGAGCTGAGGGAGGGGATGGGCGTGAAGAGGGCCAGGAACCTGAGCATTGAGGCAAGAGAGGTCTTCAGGGGGAGCACCAATGAGAGTCATGTGGGACAAGACAGGGGTGTGCCCACCAGTGAGACTTACAGGACAGGGCAGGTGGGCGCCCACCAGTGAGGGTCAGGGGACAGGGCAGGGGGGCGTCTATCAGTGAGAGTCAGGGGACAGGGCAGGGGGGCGTCTATCAGTGAGAGTCAGGGGACTGAGCAGGGTGTACCCATCAGTGAGAGTCTAGGGGATTGAGCAGTGAGGGGACCCATCAGTGAGAGTTGGGGGACGGGGCAAGAGTGTCCCCTCAGTGCAAGCCAGGGTAGGGCTGGGACTAAGGAGGGGAGAGTTTGCGTTGTGGGGAGGGTGGCTTTCCGCTGTCACTACTGTAGCCATATCCAAGGACAATTGTTTGGCCTTTTTTTCCCAAGTGTGCATCTCAAGGTGAGCTTAGCTCTCACAGACGGTGGTTCTGAAATGATGGAACTGCTGTGATGATTACAGTAGGGAGTCCCAAGCAGGTCCCCAGGGATTGCCCTTTCATGACAGCAATTTTGAAATCTTTGAGAGTTCCTTCAGAAACCACTTTTTTCTCTGGATTTCCTGTGTCTGTCAGGACCCCGCTGATAGCAGGCCTCTGGAGATGCCGGGCTGTTTCTATTCACTCTACTGAGTGAAGTGTTACATGTTTTACAAAAGAAATACTCATGTATTTGATTGAGGAATGTCATGCAGGGCATGCGTTCTTACAATGCTGGCTGTGTGTCAGCTCTCTAGTAATCTGACAGTTTCACGTTCCTAAAGTCTTCGTGGTTTGGGATTAGGACGGGATTGTCATCATCATTAGCGGCAGCAGCAGCAGGGACCAAGAGGGGCTGGAGGATGCCAGGGGCAGGTGTGAGCGTCTGTGCTGTGGCTGCAAACCCGCATGCTGCTCTTACCCTGGGTGCTGACCAGTAAAGAAGGCACTGGTTGGTCACAAGTGGTATCACTGTTAATTTTGCTTCTTCGACAGGAAAGAAATTGAGGTTTTAAAGAAAGACAGTGAAAAGGTCTGCTCTGAGATGGAGGCACTCAACAGACAGGTGACGTATCAATGCCTGGCACAGAGATCATGCCACCCTTCCTTTTTTTATATTATTTTGAAATCATTTTAAACTTACAAAAGGAAGTAGAGAATGTTCTTCTAAAAGAGTTGAGAGTGAGTTGCTGACGAACTCCCAGGCCCCATTAGTCAGGAAATGAATGTGGCTGTGACCGCAGTCAGGTCTGCTGGTGGTCCCAAGGATGTTCAGAATTGTGTGACACATAGTAATTGGAACCACAGGCATCCCCTGCAGGGTCCCTTTGGTGTTTTGGTCTGGAAGCTGCTCACAGCTTCTCACAAATGCTGGCAGGCGGGCGGTGCCTTGGCTCCCACACTGGGAGTTCCTCTGTGTGGTGAGTGCCTGAGAGTCTGCATTGTCCTGGGGCCCAGCTGCTTGTGGAGATCACCCGTCTGGAGCTTTCCTGGGCCCAGAGTAGCTGCCCACCCATCACTTCCCAGCCTCTCTGTGACACCTCTGTAAATAAACTGTAGGTATTCATTTGTTCTCTTTCTCCCCTTTTTTTT